CACTGTCCTTCCTTGGTCAAAGAAAATGGTTAAATGGAACAGACTTGCATCACGTGATCGCAGCAGTCATGTCACGTTACACGTGAGGTAATGTGGTTTTTTATACATATAAGTTTTAATATAGATATATAACGAGCCTTTTACTTTTTAAATTGTGTATATATTGGTAAATTTAAATATATAAGTGAGTTACTACCTGCTAGCCACCGAAGCTGCAACTACTAAGCATCTAACCAACCATAGATATCTGCTTTGGATATAAAAGAAAACATTTTAGAAATCAGCCTGATTGCTTCAATTACTTGACTTACATTTAAACAGGAAATTTGCCCCAAAGTAGCTGCTGGCTCTTGATCCGACCATTCCTTTTGAAAATACCTTGGTGCATTCTGGGAAATTTTTGACCATGGCTAGGCTACAAGGCGCCCCTTGTGTATCCTGGCTCTGCTAGTTAAACGGTTAAATAGAGAACAGATGCCTTGGTAGAACATGAACATTGGAACATGCCTTGGTGGTTCCTGATGACGTATCTCTTAGGCAACTGGGGCGGGACCAAGACATCAAGGCAAGGTTCCTTGACATTGAGAAACACCCACAGTGTTCACTCCAGTTAGGTATTTTGGCCACTGCAGCTCTCCGTACTTACACCTTGATTACTTGGGAGAGGGGTTGGCCAGTCTCTTCACACAATCAGGATAAACAGAGCTTTGTTGGCAGCCATGGTGAAAAGGCCCACTAAAACACAAACGAACATCTCCAGATAATTAAAAACCACAAAACAAAATGCTAAGTTTAGCGTAGAATATTAACCTACAGGTTTATAGATGGAGCAAGCTAGAGGCTAGTGCTAGGTGCACATGCTAACCCTAGAAATACAATGGTTGTATAGTTATATCGATATAAATGTTACTGAGTCAAATTGATATTTAAGAAATATTGAGATATCGCTAGCCCTATTGGCTTCTTTTTCTTACTCTTTCTGGCTCATAGAAAATACATTTGAGAAGAGTTTGTGATAGGCCCAAGAGAAATTTTGGGGAGAAAATTTATGGTGAAAATTTTTGGAATGTGTTCCAAATTCCACAAAATCAAGAGTAAGAACCTGTGAATCATGGGAATAAATAGGAAAACGCTGAGTGTTTCAGGACATTTTGGAAAATCCCTCGTAAATGCCGTTCACAATTTTTCACAAGCTGTCACAGCCCAGTGAGATACTGGTTTTAGAAGTCAGCTTGCCATGTGTAACCAAACAAATTTCTCCTGATTTTTCACCAGTTTAGCCTCATTTTGTGGGAGTCTAAACTTCATCACTATTCAGGCATCCTAGCCTGGCCAAAGCAGCAATCTGAGCAAAAATGCACCAAAGCAGTGTGATAATTTTATCAGTCAACAAAGCCAAGGTTAGTTATTTTATAGCTGAGATTTACTGGACCAGTAACAGTGATATCATGTGTTGCTTCACTGTTATTGTCATTTCTTCAGTGTCCCTCACTCTGCGGGTATTATTATTATTATCCAGGGGGCTTTTACAGCCGTTTCAGGGTCTGTAGGATATAACTGTTGGGAGGAGAGGAAGAAGAAGGGCTTGTTGCTTAGCTTTTTCTGTCCCCCAGTTTTAATGTGGTTTTGTTTTTGTTTGGGTTCACAGCAGGGGTTCGTCTGTGGGGCTTTGCTGAGTCACATCCATCTAATGGAGAACATCTGCTGCTTTTTCAAGAGCTAACATCAGAAATATGGGTCAAATTGGGAGTGGGGGAGGGGATGATTGGAGTGAGGGGGATGCTACTGAAAAGGGGAAAATTATAAGACCCAGCAGTTTTACATAAAAATAGTGTCACAGTTCATAAGTTGTTTTTTACTCCTATTGGTTCAGAGACTTGCATCTTTGTAACCTTTCAAATCAAAAGTCGATATTAAAACAACTACACTTACATAAATTACATTTTATTTTTATTTTATAAACTTAGTTAGCATTGCTGCTGTAACTGGTTTGGTCATGATCTCAGCGATCATATCTTCTGTAGGGCAATAGATCATGTCAACCTTTCCATCTTGTAGAGTTTGTCTTATAAAGTGATATTTGATATCAACGTGTTTGCATCTCTGTCTTTGCACAGGATTCTTTGCTAGAGCCGTAGTCCCTTGATTGTCCTCATATATTACAAGAGAAATGTATACATACTTGTCCACGTGTTCAAGGAGTTGTCTGAAGTATAAACATTCTTGTACAGTTGCTGCTAGCGCCATATACTCTGCTTCACACATAGATGGTGCTACAGTTGGTTGTCTCTTACACTTTCAGGATATTACTGGTCCAGTTTCTGTTAAACTAATGCAATATCCTGTAGTACTCCAGCGGTCTTTAACTTCGGATGCCCAATCCGCATCACTATATGCACGTAGCCCTAGTCGTTTCCCCCCACTTTTCTGGTAAACTAGTGCTTTGTTTATAGTGCATTTTAGATGTCTGATGACATGCTTGACCGCAGTCCAATGTTGCTCCAAGGGTTCTGAGAAATGCCTTGAAAGCCTGCTCACTACATATGTTATGTCTCGTCTTTTACAAATGGATAATTATATCAGATTTCCCACTGCTTCTCTGTACTTCCTGATGTCCTGCAGTTTGGTGGTGTTATCATCCATCTCTGCCCCCTGTTCACATGGAGTGCTCTTTGGTTTACAGTCTCTCATGTCAAACCTCTCCAGTATCTTTCCTATGTCCTGCGTTTGTAACATCTCTGTGTTCTATGTCTATGCCAAGGAAATGCTGGATCTGTCCTAGGTATCTGGTGATAGTGGTGAGAATAGAGTGGGTCTTAAGCTTCGTGGAAAGAGGAAAATGTGAACACAAATCAACTGATATCGTGATATTACTTCAACAATAATGTTGTGCAACACTAATGACTGTTGCTAATAATGGCTCAACAGTTTGTATTTTGACAAAACAACAAATTACCTGTTTTTGTTTACATGCAGATTTTCTCCATAAATTATACAGCATCATTTCTGGACTTTAAGTTCCTCCCTGATATAAAATCACAAATCACCTTTTGTCTCCTAGTTTGTGGTCCCCTTCTCTGTCCCGGCACGATATCCTTCACTTTGTTGCCAATCTAGCGAAGTTTGTTTAGTTCTCAACATGCAGTAAGTTCTGCTGTTCCCATCCCAAAGCACTCAAAGTTAGCCCAGTCCCTGTGCTGCAGTCAGAACAGGAGGCATTAACCCCTCGGGTGGATGACCTCACCCCAGACTACACCTTGTTCACTGTGTTTGTGCCTCTTTGTGACTGAATAACTAAAGCCCTTTTTACAAGACAGACCATGCCGGCAAATCGGCGTAAAATTACACCAGCGGTGTGTTCCATAAACGCACCATACCGGCATGGCATTGCGCGAATTGTACAGCATCCATTCTGCCTCGCTTGGTATTAATATTGCGGTAATGGTCTGTCTTATATCTGATGCAACAGAGGGAGGTGTCATGATAACGTGGGGAGTTAATGCCGAGCTTCGGCCGGCAAATATATTGAAAATGAAAGTAAACACTGACAATAAGTTTTGCTTTTTGAACAAAATCCACAGAGACGGCAAACTGGAACACCGTAGCGCTCCATGAGCGTCTCTCTGTTAGAGCTGGAGCTCAGATCATCAAAGACTGCTCAGGGACTGATGGTGACAGACACCTTTAGGAGTGGCTTGTTAAAAAAAAAAAACCTTATGAGCCCAGCTCAATCGCAATAAAAAGCAAGTTATGTCCAAGATTAACGAAGTACGCGGCAGCACAGAGATCACCCTCACACCCCCTTTATGCTGCCATTTCCTAATCTTTTATCAAAAGGACATGATTGCACTACTTTCCCGCCTTGGTCTGACCACTTATAAACAACTTAAGGGTCCCCATGCCGCCACAGCGTTGCAGCAAATTGACGGCGCTCTTTTGTAACAACGGCTTAAACTAAAGGAACAAAAACCCTGAGGTTACTCTGCCAAAGGGCGTATATGGATTTATTCGCTGGTCCCAGGACTACAGTTGTTGAATAAAAATGGGAATAAATAAATAAATCTACTAAGAAGTATTGTTCTAAGCATGTTTATGCTGTTTAATGTTTGCTTTTTCTCCATCTCTCAGTGTTATTCTTCTCTCCAACAGCTCCCATTCCAAATGCATACACATGACAAAGTATGCTAATTAAATGAAAGCCATAATTTGGGGATTTTTAGGACCACCAACTACTTTCCTGACTGAGGTGTCAGCTGCGCTGACACATCAGTGATACTTTGTGGGGATTTCTTCAGCAGGAATTTATCATCCATCCTTCAACTTTCTTTTAACAAATTAGCCTAGAGTGTTTTTATTTACTTTTGTTTATCTGTTTAATGTTCCAGTCGACCCAAATTATTACAAATTATTATATACAAATATTAACCCAAATTTCTAAAATATAAATGTTGTAACCCTTTTTGTTGTTGTGTGCATTAAAATATAGCTATTTTCATCTTCACCTCTATTATTTACTCTTCCCCCCTTCCCCTTCAGGCAGTTTAGTGGAAATAAACAAGAATTTTTATGCCTCTGTCCCCAACTCTACCTACCAATCTTTTGAGTATTGTGTTTATAAAATAAAGAGCTTCTATATAATAGCTTCTTTCCCCAAGACTGGTTGTAAAACCACTTGTACTTCCTTCCATTCTTCTCTAATTACACGGAGGCATTTGATCTCACACTTTGATGACAAGAGATACGATTAAGCGTTCATGAATGGGATTTTCCCCACTTCACTTTTCTGAAGCATAGTGCCCATTAACTCCTTTTGAAGCTTCTGTTTTTCGCTCCCATCTCCAGAGCTAAGCTTTGCAGTGCTCCCTGATATCCCTGATAAATGCGGCTAACTAATGAATCCTGTTGTGAACACAGTCAGTCGGATCTCCTGGCAGACGGCTGATCGTACTAATAGTTCCCTCCAGAAGATTAATATGTGTTTTCTTTCCTTTTTCTGCCAGATTTTTCTGTAGTTGGCATCTGCTGCAGTCATGTTTAGAAACAGCTTGAAGATGCTGCTGACGGGGGGGAAAGCCAACAGAAAGAGTCGCAGTAGTGGTGAGTTTGTCTTGTGATGGCAGCCACAAACAATGACACATCTGCCTGTCAGCATCACGAGATCTCTGCTGGTTCTCTGGGTTTATTTCAGGAAACGACTCAGAGGACAGCATGTTGTTTGAGTGCAAGTGTTGAAAATAATAGCATGAAAAGCTTAACTACTCAGCCTACTTAACAAGAATGGTCTGAAATCTAATTATTTTGAGAACACATATCCTGGTATAAACATCAAGTTTATTTCCGAACGTTTTGGCTCAAGTTATTCTGTAGATTTAAGGCTGCCTCAGTTTTGTGTAATCCCAGATTAGTTTGTGCAGCTCTGACGTGTTGATATGGACTTTGGGCAATTTCAATTTATCTAAAAAAAATGTAATAACAAATCAAGAAAACATGAGCCTTAGGGTTCTTGAAATAAAATCTTTCAAATGGAAAATCTGTTAATCATTTATAGGTGATGGTGAGTTCACAGAACATTTATGTAACTTCTACGCATGGACCAAAAATAGACACATTGATTAACATCCTTGGCCATTTTTCTGGTGTGTTTAAAAGGAATGATTCATATTGTATTACAGAGGCAGATATTATAAAGTTTTCTTAATATTTTGATAACAGCTGGTTCCAGTCAAGCCTAGTCAGTGGTGGAATTAAGAGATTCTTCTGATCTTACTGGTTTTTAATTACCTTTATGTAAATTTTTAGGTAAAGCTGTAGACTATAGGCAGCGTTGAAAAGCTTAGACTTAAAGGCAACTCGTTTGTGATTATTTCCCCATTAAAGGGCCATTAATATGTTTAAAATACATATTTTATGTGTTGGGTTTCTGCAGGTTTTGACTTCATTTTAAAATGTTGAATTTAGTCAAACTTAATGTTTACAATTTTAATCAAGCTATTCATAAAAATTTGCTGTTAAAGGTCGCCCTTACTCGAACTACCATCTGTATTCACCCAATTTAGATTTCAATATATAAAAAACCCCAAAATGACCACTGATTAAATCAGTCATTAAGTTACATCACAACAAATTTTTTGGTTGCAATAATCCCAAACTCCCTGTTTGAGTCCTTCCCTCACAGATTATTCCTCTTATCCTTAAACTCGGCATTAGTTTCTGCTGACGAACACAGTCCCCTTGCTTAGTTTTTTGTGTGTTTTTACAGCAAGTGAGTGTGAAGTGGGGAGGAGAAACAAGCAGTGCATATCTGTATTACCCTCCAGTGTTTTACTATCTGTTGCAGTCATCTTGCAGGGAATTCACTCATCCCAGCAGACAAAAGAGCTGCTCTTACAGTCTGCCTCCTGCCTTGAAACATCTGTATCTAACATCCATAGTTAGCATGTATAAACACGCTCACCTAATTCATTCTTATTTTAAATATCTCAAATGGATGTACACATACGTTTCTATCCAAGCTACTTTGTAGCCACCAACGGAATAAGGAATAATCTGGAATATCCATAAAGAATGTTGCAGGAAGTGCCCTTAACTTAAAGGAGCAACATGTAAGAATTCCATGGCGAAGTATGCCCTTTTAGAAGACACACCATGCTAGCAAATCAGTGTATTACTACCCCTTGATGTGTCTTATGAACATGCCATGGCGGCATGGCGTTGTGGGAATTTGTTGGCATTCATTCCGCCACGCTTGATAGTAATATTACCACAAAGCCAGACATGTGAATGCATATTACGCCTTTGTGCAACAGAGAGAAGTGTCATGATCACGTGGAGAGTTACTGCCGAGCTCCAGCCTGCAACTATATTGAAAACGAAAGTAAGCATAAGCCGTAAGTTTCGCTTTCGTATACAGAACCAGCTGAGATGATAAACTGAAGCAATGCTGAGCTCTGGGAGCTTCTCGACTTTAGAGCTGGTCAAATCACCAGAGTCTGCTCAGGCACTGTGTAAGAAGATGCCTTTAGGGAGTGATTTGTGAAAATAATGTAATGAGCACGGCTTCGTTTGCAACAAAAACATCAGATATGTATCGGAATCAGTACCACATATGAAAGTGACCTGGATCAGGTTAGGAAAAAGTCATATCTGTGCTGTTCAGACATGGGTCGCATGTGGGGGAAAAAAATTCTGATTTGATCGTGTTTTTTCCTGCAGTGTGAACGTAGCCTGAGAAGCACAGTATAATGGCAAGCTAACAGCAAGATGGAAAACAACTACACTTCCTCTAATGTTTGAGAAATATTACCATAATAAGTGTTGTAAGTGCTCCCTACTTTTCATCAACACACAAGAGCCCTCATACCCAATAGACCAATGTATTTAGCTATTTGTCAACTTACTGTGTATAACTTGTCTTTTCTTATCATCTAAAATCTTCTGGTGCTGATCTGTAACTGGCAGCTGCTATGAAACTCATGGAATGAAAGTGAGAAAGTAACTTTTTCTTAGAAAAGTGGGCTGCAGTAACTTAATTTGACCACAGGATGTAATTCTTAAGCCATTTTTACAAGACACACCATGCTGGCAAATCAACATAATATTACCACAACAGTGTGTCTTATAAACGCGGCATGGCGATGTGTAAAACTTGTGGCATTCATTCCGCCTCACTTGGTATTAATATTGTGGTAATTGTCTGTACCATAAATGGCGATTGCGCCTTGGCGCAACAGAGGGAGGTGATGATGACGTGAGAAGTTACTGCTGTGGCCGGCAAATATATTGAAAATGAAAGTAAAAACGGGCCGTAAGTTTCGCTTTTTGAACAAAATCAGCTGAGATGGAGCTTCTCTCTGTTAGATTTGGTGGTCAGATCACCAGAGACTTCATGGGGACTCTGGGGAACAGACACCTTTAGGTGTGAATAGTTAAAAAAAAACATTGTGAGCATGGCTTCGATTGCAATAAAAAGCAAGTTATGTCCAAGATAAACGAAAGTCTGCGGCAGCTTAGAGACCACCTTCATAACCCCTATATACCACCATTGCCTAATCTTTTGTAGAAAGGACCTGATTGCGCCACATTCCCGCCACGGTCTTACCACTCATAAACAACCCAGGGCTCCCAAATTGACGGCATTGTTTTGTGAAAACAATTTCAGTTGAATCTTACTAATTAACGCCATTAAAGAACGTTTTCTTATATAAAGCTTTGCAACAAGACCTGGCCAGTGAAACTGGTCTTGGTTCAAAGGAGACATTGTGAGACACCATGATGGTGTTTGATGCAGTTAAAGGACAGATTTTGACTTGAGGAATGTAGGAATTCTGATGGGAACACAGCTGCTAATCTGGAAACAACAGATAAGCTTTGTTCAGTGCTGGAGAAACTATTTGAGCCCCAAGTTAATAAAAGAGATAAGCTGATTGAGCTGAGGGGAAATTTGACGAATCTTTGTGTGACACACTCTGAGGAGAGTTTTATCTCGTTGCCTGTTTCATCTCCAGATTTTTGTTCCAGTCTGATTTACAATGATACACACCTTTATGAAATCACACAGCCGACAGTAATTAGTGTTTATTGGAAACCTACAATTACAAATGTCACACAATGCATTGCCCTTTTAGATTCCATAACTGTGATATTTTTTATTTTTACATTTTAGGGGTAAATTTTCAGTATCTTGCTCAAATCAGTTGGGGTGAGGAGGTGATGCAAGACTTCAACAAAGTCAACAGCCTGACAGTGCAATTATAGTTATGACACTGGCTGATTAGAACTTGAGAAATGGGGTTAAAAGGTTGGGGTGTCTGGCCAGGGACGCTTTAGCATAACTAATGAGTATTTGTGAGGAATCGGCTGGAGGCCTGCAGTTAAGAGTCATGCTGATTGTCGGTGTACAATAAATCTGGATTCAAAAGAGTTATTTTTTGTGTGGCTCATGCTCATGACACAAAGTATAAAACAAGATGTGACCATGAATTTAGATTATAATAAATTTAGGTCCAACCCTTATATTTTACATGTTGATGCTGAGAGGTAGGAGGGTGTTCCAATTCTTTTGTACAGTAGTGCATTTGGTTCCTAAACTTTTTTACTCTTTGTCAGTGCCCAAGACAAGCCAGGGCCCCTACTCCTGTATGCATATTCACATTAAATGTGATTATTTACTAACTTTACACAGACATAGAGAATTCTAACTTTTATAATATTGTACTGTAGGGTGTGTTGTTAGGATTCTATAAATATAAATCTCACAACAAGCAGTAACACTTTACGGCAATCAATGTTTTCACCTTAGGACAGATGAGCTATACCTGGTTAGCATTTAACTGCAACATGTTCGTTCATCATAGTGCAGCCTCAGAAAAAAACATTTATCTCATGCTGCTAAAACACGAGTCATCATCAGGAGTTTTCTGAGGAGCTCAGAGACAAATAAGGATTCAAATAGGATGCAGACCTAACATCCTGTTGTGCTTCACCCAGCACTCTGAATCCCTGTTTAGGTTTGCCGACATGCTACAGCCTTTCCCTGGACAGCCTTTGATTGCTCTTAAGATCTTGGTCATATTATTTACTAGAAACGGTTAGATTCCACCTTCTCAGTGGCCTATTGGTAAAGTGTTTGCCCTGAGACTAGGAGATCAGGGTTCAAATCCTGGCCGGGTCATACCAAAGACTGTGGGTGTTTCTCAATGCCAAGGAACCTTGCCTTGATGTTTTGGCCCCGCCCCGGTTGCCTAGGAGATTCGTCATCGGAAACTGCCAAGACGTGTTCCAGTGTTCATGTTCGTGTTCTACCGAGGCGTGTGTTCTCCGTTTGTTAGCCATTTAGTTAGCTGAGCGAGGATACACGGGAGGTGTCTTGTAGCCTAGCCTTGGTCAAATATTACCCAGAGTACACCATGGTGTTTTCAAAAGGACAGCGGATCAGAAGCTGGCAGCTACTTCGGGGACAATTTTCAAGTTTAAAATTAAAACAACTCATTTAAAATGCTTTTTTTTTTAGATCCGAAGAAGTTATTTATTGTTGGTTAGTTGCTTAGTAGTTGCAGCTTCGGTGGCTAGCGGGTAGTAACTCACTTATATTTTTAATT